TACACAATACCTCATGCTTTGTAGCATTCAATGTTATTTTAAGCAGTAGCCAGTTTTGGAAAAGTGACTTGAGTAGCGACAGGCCAATTAAAGTGTAAATTCTTTTATGAAGTGCTCTCTGTGCACTCCCAGGCCCATGATTCTGGAGACTCACAGCTTGTACATTCTAGTCAGGCTCGTCATAGGCTACCCACCCCATTGATACTGTTTGATTCTAAGATTCTCCTACTGCAGTAACTGTGATGTTTACCCCAAGCTGCTCAGGACACTTTAGTGCTCTGTAAATGTCAGTTAAGGATAAGGGTATTCAGGAAACCCTTTTCCTTTTCTCATTCCAAAACGTCCTCCTCTTCAGTGTAATGTTGAATTTATCTTGCCTTCCCATTGAGGACCTTTCTATATTGACTTATTTTTGTAGTCCCTGTCTTTAGCTCAAAGTAAGTCGCATTTTCTATCCCAACTTTCTGAACTCTCCATTAGCGGGAAACTTCCCCTCTCTCCAGCACTCTCTCCCTCCTCTTATCTGTCCTCTGCTCCACGTTTGGATAAAAAGTTTCCCCATTTATTTATTGTTCTCATGGAGATTTGGAAAAAAAAATGCTTTTATTATTAATAAATTCCTGAGCAAAGCTTATGGAGAATTTTTGATGAAAGTTACTCTGAAAATCATTGAATTTAGAGCTTGTCAATAGAGACCCCTTCTCAAGGTTGTACCTGAGATGACTAATCGGTAGTACTTTTTATTCTGTTGAGCTTCTATATGCCTTTGGAATCCTTTTCAACACGAAATTTTAGCGGTATTTACTCTGCCCATGCTATAGGGCCCAAAGGAAGCAGTGCTTCCTGTCTTTGTATTTGAACTCTTAAATGGAAAGGGAGAAGGGTCACATGCCCCTTATCCCTGTTCCTGCCTAGGAGGTGGGTTCGTTCCAGTCAGATCAGAGGATGACTTCAGCTGTCTACCTCTTTCTGTATTTATGAGTGTATTTCCTCAATTTATATCTTTCTAAATCCCTATTACCCATTAGATAGACTTTCATGGATTGATCATAATATGAAACTGTAGATAAAAACTGCTAATACCTGTCTATAAACAAAATGAAACTTGCCATCACTTACAGAATTCTAATCTTTATTTTGGTTGTAAGGTTCAAGGCATTGGTGAGTTGGTAAACTGAAACCAGAAAATAGGCCATTGCTTTCCTGACTTTCAGTTTTAGGATTTGCTTCCCTTCTTCCTCTTCCTCTTCTTCCTCTTCCTCTCCTCCTCCTCCTCTTCTTCCTCCTTCTCCTTCTTCTTCTAATAGCCCATTTGAGTCCCAGAGTTTACATTTTATTTATCAGCTAATAGTGTTTAACAACTACAGTTAAAAAGGGTATGGTGGTTTGAACAAGGATGGCCCCTATAGGTTCACATTATTTGCATGCTAAGTCCCACTTGATGAACTGTTTGGAAGAGATAGGAGGGGTATCCTTGTTAGAGTAGTAGATGTGTCCTTGTTGGAGGAGTATGTCATAGGTGGTGAGCTTTGAGGTTTCAAAAGCCCATGCCAGGCCCAGTGCTCTCTCTTTCTCTCTCTGCTGGCTGCCTGTGAATCAGGCAGAATATGGCTCTCAGCTACTGCTGCAGCACTATTCCTGTCAGCTTCCCACTATGGTGATAAGGCACTGACCTTCTGAAAGTGTAAGCAAGGCCCCAATTAAATGCTTTCTTTTATAAGACTTGCAGGTCACGGTGTCCCTTCACAGCGAAAGGACAGCTACTGAGACTGAAAGATATCCCATGTGCTCTGGCCTGTCACTGACTAAACTTCTGGGGAGAAGGGTCTATGTTACACTTTGTATAGTGCACTAGTCAACAGTCTGTGTCTCACACAGGCAGGTATTCAATTGAAATTCTCTGGCATGTAGCATCCGTAGGCATGAAATAAGTACAACATTTATTATTAAGTTCACACCAGGAATCAATAAAATTTTCTACTTTTTTGAGGCTAGAGAGATGGCTTAGCCACTGAGAGCATTGGCTCCTTTTCTGGAGGATCTGGGTTCAATGCCCAGGTGCCCACATGACAGCTCACGACTGTCTGTAACTCCAGTTCCAGGGAATCTGATACCCTCACACAGACATACATGTGAGCAAAACACCAATGCACATACAGTAAAAAATGAAGAAATCATTAGAAACTTTTCTACCATTTTGTGTTGAAGTAGGGCTTATTTTAAAGGACTCTATACCTTGATGTCACAGACGTCCTTTTTTTAAGAATGACACCATATGTACAGACAAATTTCTATTTCACTTAAATTTTTAGGGCAAATTAAAATGCTATGTCACTGACTAGGTGTTTCAATGATACTTCTATTTAATATACAAAGGGCAATATTGTGGTTTGGGTAACAAAAGCCTTGGCAAATGATCTACTCTACCTATTTTCATAGTGGTATCTATTGACCATAACTTGTGATGTTTTATTTCCCCCCCATCCACCCACAAGCCACAATTGTTAGGGAAGAAAAGTAAAGCAAAGCATGTGAAGAGAAAAGAAATGGGCTGTAAAAAGGCGGAAGATACATTTCCTACCACAGCACAAGACATTATATGGCCTCTTCGAGAACTCTAGTTCTAAAAGACAGTGGAGTCACAGCCAATGTCATACTGAGTGGTAAAAACTAAACTCCTTTCTGTGAGATCAAGAGTAAGATGAGGAGAGCTGCCTTGACCCTCCTCTCCTTTGATATGTCTATCATTGTGTTAGAGGTTCTGGCCATGGGGATTAAGAAAGAAAAGGAAATAAATGTCATCCACATTGAAGGGGGAAAAAGAAAAACTCTCTTTTCGCATATGGTGTATCTTCTATATAAGAAATTTTGAGAAATTCACTAAAACCATAAAAACTAAGATATAGGTTTATAGAGGTTATAGGATATAAGATCTACATGAAATGATAAATATATTTCTATACATTTGCCATGAATAATCTTAAATGAAATTAAACAAATAATTTACATGCAAAGAAATACAACTGGAACCTTGTGCCTCTCCATGAACAAAACTAACTCAATATTGGTTAACACCCTAACATAAGAGTTGCAACTGTAACCTTCTTACAAGAAAGTATGACATAAATCTTCATGATCTTGGATTAGGTAATGTTTCTTAGACACTGCATTAAAAAGTAACAAAAGAAAAAATAAATTAGAGTTAATCAAAATAAAAACCTTTGTCATCTCAAAGAACACTGTCAAGAGAATAGGAAGAGAACAGAAAACAAATGAGAAAAAAAAGCATTAGGAAAACATTTATCTGAAAATTGATTTAAAGACAGAGCACAGGGCTAGGGAGACTGTTCAGTGGTCAATCAAAGTGCTGGCCACCAAAGCAAGAAGACTGGAACCCAGATTTTCAGAACCCATGTAGATGCTGGCTGGGTGTGGTTGCCTGCCTGCAATTCTAGCCTCAGAAGGCAGAAATGGGATCCCCGGATCAAGATGGCCAGCAAGAATACTGGGATTGGTGAGTTATAGATTTGATTGAAAGATACTGCCTCAAAAGTGAAAGAACAATGGAAGAAGATTCCTGACATTAACTAGTCACAGTCGCCTACCTACATATACACCATGCCCCCCCATATTCACAAACAGACATATGAATAAGTGAAAAGTTTTACAACAATCCCCAGAGTATATTTAGAGACTGTATAACCCAGTAATAATAACAGCAGGAAAATGCCAATTTAAAAATATACCGAATCTGAGTACACAGCTCTTAGAAAAGTTATATCAATAAGTGCATAAAAAGAAGCTCACCAGCTCCACTGATTAGGGCAATACAAATCAAACTCACAATAACACATGGCTTCATACCAACCAAGACAGCCATATTTGTAAAAAGACACATAATAAGTATTGTTCAGCACATGAAGAAATCATAACATAATACAGTCTTGATACAAATGTAAAGTGTTGCAGCCACTGTATAAAACCACATTACAGTTCCTTAAATGTGTAACATAGAGCCATCATATTGCTGAAGGGATCAGCAATTTTATTGCACTATATAATCATTGAAAATAAAAATATTTCCACATCAAAATCTTAATACAAATATTCATGGTAGTATTATCCACTATAGCTAAAAACTGGAAATACCACAAATGTCTGTCACCTGATGAATGAATATGCTAAATGTGGTATGTCCATACAGTAGAAATTTATATGGCAATAAAAGAAACGAAGTACTTATTTATTCATGCAACAGTGTAAATGCAACATAAAAAATATTGCAGTGTGAATTAGTCACTAAAGAGCATATCCCATTTATTTGGGGCAGATCTATAAAGACACAAAGTACGTTATTGACTGTGGTTTGGTGGGGAAGGGAGTCTGAGGAATGGGAGAGGATTGCTAACCTCTACAGGATTTCTTCATGGAGTGATGGAATTTCCCAAAATGATTGTGGTGACAGCTGCCCAACTCTAAATTTAGTGGGTAAGTTATATGCTTGAATTATATGCCATTAAAGCCATGACTAAGAGGAGATGTACACATGAGTGTTAATTTTGGTAGGATTTTGTTGTTAATTCTCTCCTATGTCTGTCACAACAATCTGCACATTCACTTAACTGATCTGTGTATGTATTTCTATAGCTGTAGTCTTAAGTGTATAATGTGTGTCAAACTAGATACATTTTCAGTTGAGTAGATACTGTCAATGAAATGCGACCCTTTAGAACAGTCAAAGAAAACACCTAAACTGTATTTTATCATCTTCAGTATAGTCAACACATCACTTTTGTTATCACTGGCTATGTCCCCAGTAGTTAACATATTTATAATAAACCCACTTTATCAGAAATGACATTACTTTTAGCAATACATTTATGACAGTGTTCTTTGTCTACTGGTGCTGTTATTTCTTTGCTATTAAAAGCCTGAATGTTGATTACCACTAAATCTACAGTAACCCAGAGAACTTAATGTTTCCATCAATTTGTACCTACCCCTTTTGAATCAATCACACCAGGTTTTGCATTGAACTTCACTGTCTTCAATCGGGCACGCTCCTTTCTTTCCACCCTAATGAAAATAAAACACAATTGAGTGGCGAGGCATTTATGATTAAGTTCCTTATTAAGTAAAGAGGACTGCTTCCTCATCCCTACAACTCAAACAAAACATGGTCTAGAATGCTTTGTTTCCTTTGGAAAGGATTTTAAAAAAAAAAAAAAACTTGGTAAAAATTGTCTAAACTTCTATGTCCCTGGAAATTTTTGCCTTATATGCACTGACAGCCCTACAGATAAAAATTATTGAAATGCTTATGAATCAACCAGAATCTATTTCAGGAAATCATAGTCCAGGAAAACTAATATCTAGAGTGGAGCAAACAAGCCCCCGTCCTCTACTCTCCTATTAAACAAACAAGCCCCTCCTCCTCCCTCCTACTCTCCTATTAATGAGCAGTATGTCACAGTTAGCTTCACTTGGCAATCAATATGTTACATGTAGCCTACAATGTTCCTTCAAGGAGTCTCATGTCCTTCTGTCATTTCTGCAGCATCATTATCTTATCTGCCACTAAATGAACACTTGCCGTGTTATTAACCAAGGACATAGGAATAAGGAAAAAGAAACATTTAAAGCATAATTGTAATGGCATTCATCATGATATGCTCTTAGCAAGAACAGAGCTGGACAAACATTCCTAACAGTGTCATTGTGGGGAGAAGAAAGAGGTGGCCAGTGTTGCTGTGGTTCTCTGAAGGACTGTGCCATGGGGTCCATACAAGATGAGGTGAGGCTGGGTGAAGCTGGAGAGTTCCATAGGATGTTGGGGGCCAGGTGTGCTGGCACATGCCTGAAACCTACCACTTAGGAGGTAGAGACAACAGGACAATGAGTTCAAGGTCAACATCAGATATATGAGTTCAAGGCTAGCCTGACTGACCTACATGAAACCAAAAAAAGTTTAAAAAAAAAAGGATATGGCTGGGGGATTTGCTTAGTTGATAAAGTCTTTGCTTATGACAAGGACTTGAGTTTGAATCCAGGTAAAAAGCAAGGCACGGGGTGGGGGATGAATTTATAATCCTAGAAGAGACAGAGTTGGGGGATTTTTAGGGCAAGCTGGTTAGTTACTTCAGCCTGCTTTGTGAATTCCAGGCCAAAAAGAGTCCTTGTCTTTAAAAGGGGGAGGGTCATAAGAAATGACACCCATGGGTTTATGTATACATGCATCCATACATATATGAGCATCCACATGCACATGAATGAACATGAACTCCTTTTTCTCTCCCATTGAGCCATTCGAGGACTTGGGTACTAGTAACAAGGCATAAATGAGGAAGGTAGTATAATCAAATGAGGGTTTTAAAGATTTATTTTTATTTATGTGTATATGTATGTGTGTGCATGTAGTTATGCTTGTGTGTATGCAGGCCTTGTAGAAGCTGGAAGAGGGTATTGGGTCTCCTGGAGTTGGAATTCCAGGCATTTGTGAGCTGCCAGATGTGGTACTGAGCCCTGAACCTCTGCAAAAGCAGAAAACATCCTTAACCACTGAGTCTTCTCTCTAGCCCTTCAAATTAGTATCTTAGGAAAAGGATCCTGATGCAGTAGAAAAGAATTCTGGAAGGGAAGGAAAAAGAGAAGATTGGGGTATGTTCAGGAGCTGTTGCCATAACCCAGGCCATATCAATAAGGGACAGGAAAGGATAATTAGGAGATGAGAGAAAGGGCTTCAGAAATAGCAGAAAAATGCAATTTGATTTGTTCCTGTTTGAAGCTAAAGTTACAAAAGAGGGATCTACGTATTTCCTTGACTTTTCCAACTCTCTACAGTAAAACATTGTTCTTATTTCCTGCTAGCCACAACAGCGCTGAATTTTATCTCTATGTAAGTTACACCTTGTCCTTCTTTAAAACATTTTATATTGAATATACAAGGTTGTATAGTTGTCTGGTCCAAGCGCATGTAACACTCAGTAGAATATTATAGCATGTCTTCAGTAGATGATCATTGTACAAAAATACCATTTGGAAGGCTGCTGTAACAAATGATTTTGTTTCAATTTGGCTAGCTTTAATTTCATTTTTTTTTTCTTTCTGGGGAAAGAAAAGAGCAAGTGAAAGAAAAATAATCCCGAATCTATAGACACTTAATGGTTTATGAAGTCTAAGCTATTCATAGCTCTGTAATTAACAGCAGGCTACTTCCTAAATGAGAGCTCTTTTGTGTTTCCAATGGAAACACTGAGGATCTGGGTTTCTATAGTTACAGAATGAAGTTTCAGAATACATTCATTTCAGTGGCAGAGTAGAATATTTGAGTGGAAAGAGATGAACAAAACCTTTCACATCTAACATTAGATATTAAAGCAATATATTCCATGGAGAGAAACTTGTGTTGAGAATCTCTCCTTGCATCTACCCAACACATAACACTTGGGAGGAGAGCAAGAAAGGCTTGGGATAAACTGCCAAGTAGAAGAAGTTCATGGACAAGAGGCCTGCTCAGAGCTCTGCCAGCTAGTCTGTCTCCCCTCTGAGTTTAAGCTCAAATGGTAATTCTTATTCACCTCTTCAGATTTTCCTAAGTTGTTGTTAGAGCCTTTCATTTTATTCTGGCTCCTTTGCATTAATTTGGCTAATGATGGGAGCCACTGATTCATCCCACTGTCAAAATGACTACAGCATGTGGAGAATACACGGTTATTTGAGCAAAGAATTCGAATAGGTTTTGCATAAAACCACAGAAGCCACAAGCATACATGGCACAGGCTCAGTGCAGTATTCTGACCTAAGAATTATTTGGGCAGAACAGTCCACATTTTCTAACATATTTCTGAGGTCATTCTTTCACTATTATTAAGTGACCTTATTAGGCCAGTTGAAGTGGGGTCATCAGGTAAATCTTTGTTTACAAAGAATATAGTCAGACTCATAAGTGCACACACACTTACCTATCAATCATTATGGTTTGTTAATATCTTTAAATTGGAAATAGATTTTTCATACGATATATTCTATTCTAATTATGGTTTCCCCTCTCCCAAGTTCTCCCAGGTCCTCCCCACTTCTCCACTCTCCCAAATCTACATTTTTCTTTCTCTTTCTCATAATAAAATAAAAAAATAGAACAAAACAAACAAACAGAAACCCTTAACATAGGTAAAAGAAAAAGAAGAAAATGGTAGGTTATTACGGAGACATTGCTTGTGTTCACCTGTGAAGGAGACTGGAATATCTTGGTTCTTATTTGGGTGGGAAGTATTGTGAATGATGGAAATATAAATGACAGCTGAACTTTTAATATACAACTACTGATGGTTCTCTTTTTTATTTGTATCATCTTGCTTGTTCCCTTGATAACCCAGCAACACAGGTCTTGTCAACCCCATTTTGTGGCTGTCAAAGCTGAGACTTGATGCAAGATAGACTAGGAGGTGATGGGAACAGTTTGAACTTGCTCCCGCTAACAGCTGACACCAGTGTCTGCCCATAGCCATGCTTTGGGGGAAAAAGAACTCAAACAGCTGTCTTGTCTACTTCACTCATTGGAAATTCAATGAACATGAGGGTTTGGATGCATGATGCACAGTTTAAAAGCCAATATATAGCCATTAGAGGCTTAGGCTGAATTTCCCCACAAATGCCACGTTCCACTCCTCCCATTTTCCTTGTCCAAATATTCTGACAACATTTAACTAGTGAGGGAGCAACATATCATGACAGGTTGGCCTCAAAGTTCAGAATAAATTTGCTTTAGTCACTGATATTGGTTTAACTAAATTCTCCTTTGCTAGCATTGCCTGGCGCACAACGAGCTGGTCTCTCTTCAGCACACCAACACTGCACTTATCCATCACAAAGAATTGCCTCCATCGGCACTCTGCAGACCTCTCTCCTTGGTGGAAACGGCTGCAGGTTACTCTAGCTTCCTCACCTCAGTTCCCTATATTCTCCCAGTTCTTCCTGGGATAAAGTGACTTGCTTACCCCCCAAAACAAAAGTTAAGGCTGAGAAATAGGGCTTTCAACAATGCAATGTTCTTTTCTTTTGGCATTAAATGCTTAAGATCTGAAAACTGGGAAATAGTCTTCATTTGAGTGTACATCAGGTATTGAAAGCCGTGCTCAGAACTTTACCTAATTTTTCTGTTACCTATACTATGATAACATGGAAGTGGGCACATAGTACACGTGAATCTTTGTTGAATGAAAGAATGAATGATGTCTCTGGCAGGCTATTAGTTCTTGACCTGTCTGTGAAAATTCAGGCTAAAAGACTTGAAATGGCTTGTCAAGAAGGTAGTGTTTCCTATTAAAAGCTCATCATTTCACTATCTTTTCTATCAGCAAGAGTCTAGGTTAGGGGCTGGAGAGATAGCTTGGTAGTTAAGAGCATTGGCTGCTCTCCCTGAGGACCCCTAGCCACAGAGCATCTCACAAATGTCTGTAACTCCAGTCCCAGGGGCCTCTGTGGACAACAGGCACACACAGACATACAGTCAAAACACCCATACACATAAGAATAAATAGAAACTTTTAAAAAGCATCTAGTTTAAAGAATAGCATTACCTTCCCTAGTTACGTTATTCCTTTGGCCAAAAGATACATTAAGGCTCCAAGGCCTTTGCTTAAGGAAATGGTAGACTTGTATGCACAGAGCCAACAGCAGTGAAAACCATAGTTCCCTCTCACATTTTGATTCAACCCATTAGTTGGGTTGATTAAGCAGACATAATCCTCTTCACTTAGTCTTGTTGCTGACCAAAGTACTAGAAACATGAACTGGAGGGCAAAGCTTGAGCAATCCATTCGGATACCTAGCATCTCTGTTTAGCACCAAATGACTGTGCTTCAACAAGTCCTTTGCCCTTCCTCCAACTCCCATCTGGTATATTCAGGTTCCAGCCAAGCTTAACTGATTGCAGCATTGGACAGGGGAAACATGATCTGTTCCTGAGGGTTCCTATGTCTGGGTTCCTTAGGCCCTAATCAAGAGGAAATTGAAATACCATCCATGTGAGTAGATGCTATGAGGTACAGGTTGAGTAAGCTTTGAATTAGTGTTAGATACAGGCTGTATTCAATAATCAATGAATGGCCACATGGATTCACAGAGTATGGGCCAGCTCCTGGTTTGGCCACTCATAACCTATGTGACATTAGCTTACAGAGCCTCCATGTTAAGAGCCCAGATGCTGAAGTCACACCCAGGCTTGAGTTCTCCCTGGCCTCTACTTCTGGAATCTTTGACTTAGAGCAGGCATTCAGCCTTTTAGGGTGGCATTTCATGTTGGCCAACTTTGAATAGTCAAGAGACTGCAGAGAGTTACAGCAGAGGCTCAATGAGACCATATAAGGAGAAAGTTTAGCAGTTTGATGTAGTTAGAGCTCAGTGTGTAAGGCTATTAAGATGCTATGCTGAGTGTCACTAAAGCCACTTGCAACACCAGTCTCTATGTCCTCACCTTCTGAAAGGGAGGCAACACACACTTTAGGTGCTTATAACCACTGCCAACATTGCCAGGTGAGCCAGAGGCATGGACTTGTCTCTAAGGGCATTCCCCAGTGCGGGCCTGTAATAGTTGAATGTGAAATGTTTTCACATGTGTTGGAATGCTTGTTTCCCACTTGGTGGTGCTATTTTGGAAGGCTGTGAGATCATTCAGAGAGGGGGCCTTGCTCCAGAAGGGCTGCAGGGATGGGGCTCAGGGCCTATGATGCAGATGTAGTCTTAGCCAGGGTTCTGTGTCTACTGTTTGATTCTATGAAGATGTAGCTGGCACTTCCTCATATTTCCATAACCATGGAGTCCTGCTGCCATGTGATCATCACTGTCATGGACAATGCCCTCCTAAACTGAGCTGAGATCAACCTCTCCTCCTGTACATTGTCCATGACAAGTATTCTGTTAGGGGAATGAGAAAAATAAGTAATAAATGGCCCAAGGCTGAAGCTCTGTAGGGCTGAGGAGAGCCTAAACCTTTACAGTTGCTCACAGAGGTATATGAAAAGTGTATGCTCAAATCCTGGCTTAGCCCCTTGCTATTAGTGCGACTCTGCCAGGATTCCTGGGTTCTCTGAATTCCATTTCTACAACTGAAAAGTATCCTAGATACAGTGGGAAGCCATTTAATCATGCTACCAGAAGTAACTGGGCCCATTAACTGGTAAGTTACTTTACTTCTCAGACCTCCAGTTTCTCTTTGAGAAAATTAACCTGAAATTATATATTTGAAAGCATCTGGCATGATGCACAGCATTATTAATTAATGTTTCCACCAAAACTTATGTTGAAATTTAATCAACATTGTGTGGTCTTAATGAGTGGAGCAGGTGGAACATTCAAGGGATGATTGTGTTATGAATATTCTGCTCTCACAAATGCTTAATCCATTTATGAACTGAAACACTGCTGGACTGATAGGGTATTGTGAGAGTAGGCTTGTTATAAAAGCCAACGGGGGTCGAACTTTATGTGCTTCCCTTATGGGATACCCTGTAAGGTCTTAGGATTTTTAGAGGCCTCATAAATAAAACCTTCAACAGATGTGGCCATTCAAGCTTATGCTATCAGACCTCCAGAAACATGAGCTAAATAAGCCTGTATACTTTATAACTAAGACAGTCAACTGTATTGTTTTATATAAACAACAAAGACTATAACATATGGTCATAGCTATAATGAAAAGGAATCCATCCTTCAGTCTATTGCCTTTTCTCATCTCTTGGTATCTTTACAATGGAGTCCTTATTGCTTTAGTCATGGGGTAGTTGACAATGTTATATGCTGGTCTTGTGAATGATGAGATCTGGGCAGTGTTTCTACAACACACGTGGTATGCCTGGCACATAGACATATCTGAAGCAATGCTGACTGAATTGAATTGTATCAGTTCTTATCACTGTACCTTAATGAGGCAAGGCCATATGAGTTAAGATGTCATAGTCTAAATTCAGATCTCAGCTCTGCCACTTACTACATGGGCGATCTCAGGCAGACTAATAACTTCTTTGTGCTGCATTTCTTTCATTTGTACAAAGGGCACAAAAACGGTATCCCATCTGAGGAGTTGTAATGAGACTTAAACATGTTAAAAACCACAAAGGGCTTAACACCAGGTCTAACACGCCCTGAGAGTACTTTATACATACATTTATTCATTATGTAAAAGAAGGAGCGACTGATAACATTCATATTATTTGCCATCCAGTTGCATTGGATGATTAGACAGAGCCATCAGAAGAGAGACATTGTTGTCAAGGGTAAAGTCATGCACTGCTGCTATCCATGCCAACTCTCTCCACATTCCTACACGAGCTCAGGAAGCAGGTGAAAAATGAGTTAATAACTTGAAACATCTACTGATTGAATATATTTAATTAGATTTTAGAAACTATTTCAGTTTTATTTTTCATAATGTACACATTAGGGGATATATACACATGAGTGCAGGTGCTTGGGGAGAAGAGAGACATCAGATTGTCCTGGAACTGGAGTAAATGGGTGGTTGGTCATGAGCCACCTATCGTGGGTGCTGGGAAGAGAATACCAAACTGGATCCTCTACTAGAGCAGTACATTTTCAACATTTGGATTTTAATGGCATAAAATTAATATATAAGAACTCTTTAAGAGGTAGGATTATCTGTGATTTTTACTTTTCTCCTTATATTTTTCTAAAATTATTTTTATACAGTATTTTATACAATACTTGTTTTATAACACATAAAATACAACATTTTTGACAAAATTAAAATCCTAAGAAAATATTCATAATATAAACTTTATAATAAAATAAATACAAATATTTTTTACTTTGTATAAAATATATCTGCAGCCAAGTGGTGCTGGTGCATGCCTTTAATTTCAGCATTTGGGAGGCAAAGGTAGGCGGATCTTGGTGAGTTCAAGGCCAACCTGGTCTACAAAGCAAGTTCCAGGACAGCCAGAGAAATCTTGTCATGAAAAACCAAATAAATAAATAAATAAATAAATAAATAAATAAATAAATAAATAAAAATATCTGCAAGGTAGGCTATCTGTATGCAAAAGAATGTAAATAAATATGAATGCAGCAGCACTTGAACAAACTACTTCTTCAGGCCAGCAGTTGTATTGCTGTTAAGATGATTTCTTTAAAGTAAAAAAGATGGCTACTTTCAAAATATGAAAAAGCCAATTCAAGGATGATCACCAGCAAGTGGAAATTTGTTTCAGAGAGGGCAATTTCCTTTGAGAGAAATAATGAGCACTTGGCTGAATGAATGACTATTGACATGATGGTTCGAATCACAGAAGCCTGGGTTTGGAAAGCACTGGACTATTTCCTGTTTCAACCCTCACATCTAAAATTTGAGACACTTCTGTGTCTTCCTGGGTAGTCTAGAGCATCTCTAGGCATTTCGATGAGAAGAATGATTTCTTTAAAATGAGAGGAAATCTATTTCTGACAGATTTTGCCTCTATCCCTGGGACCAACTGAACATGACAGCTCTTTCCGAACAGCTCCTCAGACAGATGTGGTTAACTGAATCTGAGCAACCCAGGACACATGTCATCTTGACTTTTTTTTTAAACTGAAAATGCACAAGCCCACAAAGTAGTATTACGAATCACTGCTTTAGTACTACATGAACTCAGTGGATTAAAAAGAATATACACAGAACTGGGAGGGGGAAGTGATGGGGATGTAGAATTGGAAGCAAGAGGGTGAGGAGTGGATTCTCCTCCCACCTTTCTCCTGGATCCTCTTTCCTCTTCCTCCTTCCAACTTTATGTCTGCTGATTCTCCTTTTGCCCTTCTCACCCAGAGTCCAATTAGTGCTGCCCATATATGTGTGGATATGGGGCCATCCACTGGAGTATGCTCAACCTACCAGGGATGACACCTCCAATGAAAACTAACTGCCCCTCCCTTCATAGCCATCACTTGTCAATAGCTCCTCAGCTAGGGGTGGGGACTCAAGGGTCCCTTGCCCACCTATGCTGGAATGCTGACTGACTTTAGATTTGATATAGTCAATGCTTGTTTGTTTGTTTGTCTCGTAGACCATGTCTTGTGCCAGAAGGACATTCATGAGAAGGGAAGTTCCTGGTGGTGGTGATTAGTGGCCTTCTAGGACATATGGGTGAGTGGCTGCCGTGAGGAATATTTCTGCCTTTCAAAAATAGAGTTGAGGAAGCATTTGGAAGAGAAGAGCTTGATATGCTTAAAAAATACATAGATCGAAAATCTGAGCAGCTAAAGGGAATGCTGGGATTGGGAACAAGACTAAGTAAAAGAGTAAAAGGTAACTGTCCACCCAGCTACAGGACAATTCATGGCTCAAGTGTCTGGGCCTTAATGTAGTAAGTTGCCTTTTAAATTTGGCCTTTCTGTACAATTTCCTGGTAAATGCTGAACGATGGGAATCAGTGTGTCGGGTCGTGAATGGGCATACAGGCTCATAAGCACAGCCTTTCAAATATAGCTGCTAGGAGAGTCATGGAAGCAGCCCTTCCCTTTCTCTGTATGCCTCATCACACTCACCAATTTTGGTAAAATCCTAACATGCAGAGAATGAGAAATTTTTTATTCTTGTCACCTGTCACCACTGACAATTTTCTTGTAGAATGCTTATCACACTTAAATAGTCATTTTGTGTGCAGTCTCCCCTTCCTCCCTCCCTGCATTTCTACTCCCTACATAGCTAACACACAGGAGAGAGAGAGAGAGAGAGAGAGAGAGAGAGAGAGAGAGAGAGAGAGAGAGAGAGAGAGAGCGCCATCCTTACCTTCGCTTGCTGGGAATGACACCCATCTCCTCACTGTCCCCATCTAGTATGACCCTTCTGGCTTGCCACCACTCATCATCAGAGGCATTGATAACATGGAGAATGTCTCCATATTTAAAACTAAGTCCTTGGCTAGGCAGCCCACTGTCTTTGCTCTTGTCATAGTCAAACATGGCTCTGAAAGAAAGAACAAAAGACGGCATAGTTAGAAAACAGATGGCATGGATTTAAAACACATGCTTTGGAATTTCAGCTCTTGCCTGGAGGCTCCATTATCTCCTGCAAGGCTTCATGGATTATGCTACACAATTTTCATTTTTTTTTTTTTTGGCCATAAACTGAGGTTACATCTTGCTTGTTCTTTCTAGTTGCAGGGACAGCTGATAGGTCCCTATAATAGAGTCTGCTTCTTCTCTTTCTTGAAGACCATCATATGTAACAGGGTAATAATCAGAGCTTAGGCCCTCAGTTTATTACCCAATTGAGATATTTTTCTTCCTATTAGAACCAAATTTTTCAAATAAAAAGTAAGTGAAGAAAACCATGGCTATCTTCCTTAAGTACTTTGTGCTATAAATAAATTCCCTTCAATATAACAGCTTATAGACTTCTTCCTTTCTAATAGAGAAAAGGGTAAAACTATATTGTCTATCCAGAGTGACTGACTCCAACAATGGAATACTGAATTATTACTGATTCTGGGTGCTTGAATGGGTTACTATAATGACCTTAATGAGTGCTTAAAATGTAAAAAGTAGGAAAAAATCAGTGTTTACATGTGTATAGAACAAAATCCTTTTAACAATATCACAGCTCTTTTTACTTCCAGGAAATTCCAGACCTGCCTCATCATTGTGCTGATCACTCTGAATTGTAATCCTTTGTTGTCATGGAAGTGGCTTGGCTGAGCCCTTGCTAGGGCTGAATGCATTGCAATTGCTAAGATTGGTTCAATGTCAGAGTGAGAAGCAGTATGAAATGGTGAACAGAGCAGTTGAAGCCATAGGGATGAGACAATTTAAGGATGCGACAATTTACTGCACGTACTATACTCTCTATTTTTTGACATGTCCCCCACATCTTAAAACCCACCACCACACATAGTATCTATCTAAGGTTTCCCAGGAGATGATTCTACCACCTCCCTATGAATTCCTTTCATTCTGCTCCGAGACTTTCTTTATGTTGTAACCACTATGCATGTAAAATAAGCTAGATTTGGAGAGTAGAATTTCCTAAAATCATTTGGGCCAACCCTGTCTCTTTTTTTTTCTTTCCTTTCTTTTTTTCCCTTTTTCTTCTCTGTCAAACAAATGTCACATCTGCTGTCATGGTAACCAGAAAGTGCTGGAGATAGCAGTTAACTCTCAAATATTATAGAAGTTGAATTACTTACAATACAGCCATTTCTAGTATTCCTAAGTGAAGTAATTTGGAGAGAATCTTTTGGTGTGAGTACCTGGAATAAATTATTTCTTCCTTGACCACCTGCATCTTCCCTATCAGGGATTCACACAAACCCCATCCCAGAAAAGTAGGGGTGAGGAAGGACAGATATCTCTCCTGCTGATGGCAATCCATTGTGTGATAAGACAGAAATCAATTAACATTTCAGAGCCAAATGTGTTCAGTGCAGTTACCTTCCCATAATGGAAACAACACAGGCAACATCTAGCATGTGGTAGGAGCTATGGAGCGTAAGGAATTATAATGGGGAAGAACTACTACTGAGGCCATGCCCTGTTTCTACTGTACCTTAATAGGCACACAGCTGGTTACCAAGGCAAGCTACTTAATCTTTCCTGGGTTTCGTTGCTCATATATGGTATGCAATGATGGATGCTGTCTCCATTACTGTGTGGGTAAATCGTATAAAGCAATGTGCATAAAGCATGTACAACAGTGCCTAGCATACACTGGCTAACTGTATGTATGAACTACGTTCTTTCACCTTTACAGTGAATTCCAACAAGATTCCTGTCTATCAATTGCACTTTGTGAAAAAAAAAAAAGAAAGTTAACATACTGGTCTTAAGACAATGTCCTTAAAAAGATCTATAACAAAGGCATCCTTCAGCTGATATTTAGAACTTAAATTTTGGAACGATTCCCATTAGTTTTGGACATAGTATTTCCTGTGTCTGTTCTGTACCAATACTGTCACTCAGGCTGAAAATAGCTATGCTGTGCTCCAGGCAGTTTCCAGCACAAACCTTCCATCCTGAATCTCCAACAATCTACCCTGCAGACAACACCTACCACCTGTTGTCACAAGTGGATACCAGAGGAAACAGGCATGTCCCATGTGCCTCCTCAGAGAAAAAGCTCCTGGAAGCTTGTACTTCATGTCCTGCAGACTTTGTCCCCGGGTCCTTTCGCTTCACTGATTTTGTTTTGTAATTTTTTTGCTATTTTAAAAAAAAAGGTCAGTCTTGAGTTTAGCTATGCTGAGCCCTATGAATTAAACTTGCAAGTCTTGGGAAATTCCAATATACACTCTACAGATAGCAACACATTTTTACATAGACTATCATATCTGTGACTCTATCTTTCCCTGTAAAGGTACTTTAAATAATACTATCCTCTTTTACAGAGGACGGAGGCCCAGTGACTGGTCTCAGTATATTTAGCTCAGCAGCAGTAATGCAGGGCAGTTTGGGACTCCAGGTCCAAGGTCTGGTTTGGTGTCTTTACCCTGTCACCCATTCAGCCTGGGAGGAGGTGGGGGTGGTGGTGGCTGTGTGTAAGGACAATAATAGTAGCAAGAGCAACCACCACAACTTAGCCTGGAAGTTTGTATCAGCCTCAAAGTAAATATTGGCAGTCTTGTTTTATATATAAGGAAAGGATTCTAGGAAATTAAGGGACCAGTCTCAGGTCGCATGTGTACCTGTATGGGAGAATGTATAGTGACGACTACCTGACTCTAAAATCTACTACTGTAGCCCTTTCTCTTTGTAGCTCATTTTCCTAGCCTGTTGCCCTCTGGCCATGACTTAGCAGTGCCAATGACCTGAAATTTCTCCTTTCAGACTGATGCCGCATTGTCTATATGTTTCTGAAGGTCACTTATTGGTTCATTCCTGTTCCAGCATTTTTCACCCGAAAAGTATTGTTTACTGGCTTGGCTCTCAGCCTCAAGTGTTGGGGACAGAGATAAGAGAGGGAAGGCCTCATGCGGCAGTCAATAAGACAGGTGATTTAAACTGTAAAGTAATACCAGCTCCCTTTAAGAGTTGGGGTGAGAACTAAATGGAACCGAACATGCCCAACAATAGCTCGACACTAGAAAGTACTCAACTACATAATTCAGAGCCCCATGGCTTCCAGAACGTGTCTTGATCACACTCGTGTGACCTAGTATCTGTCTTCCATACTTGTGCAAAGACATCCTAAGAGCCTCTCTCTGTCTTTAAGGTAAGGCCAAGGTACAGTCTCAGTACACGCCTCTAGAAATGCTCCAGGTGGCCACTGGAAGCCCCTTTCCTCACACCTCGCTATCCTCATATATGATGTTGGATGTGGAGATTATTCCCAGCAGCCCTCACCAGGTCAGCTGTGTGCCATCCATTTGTAAGAGCAGCCAAAGGGCAGTTTCCTGCTTCTGCTTGAGGCAGTAGATGCCCTGGCTGAGAAACTCATGTGCTCTTTCTATGTACTCTGCTTATCTTGGCCAATCTGACCCTCTAGGGTCGCACTGATTCAGGCTTGTCAGGTTCCTAAAACCCAGCAGCTGACACATTTCAGCTTCTGTCTCCTTTGGATATTAATGGATCCGCATGTCTGGGGAAAATGCTATAGTGCCTCATCACCTAATTTAAGAAGCGATAAGCTGTTTTTAATTTGCCTCATGTGCTAATTCATCACAATGGCTTTTATAAAATGCCATTAAGACTCACACTTGCCACCCAGGGTGCTTTTAACAAGTCCATTAAGACAAGTGGAATTTGCCACAAATAATGCAATGGCTTTCTCATCCCTCCTGCCCCTCCCGAAATGCAATGTGCAGTGTCTCTTTGCCAACTGGGAAAGTCTAGGAAGGAGAGTGAAGCTACTACTCGCTCATCCTTGCGGCTGTACATGGTAGCTGTAAAGTATCAGGGTACCCAACTGAATCTAAGAACCACTTTGGAACCGGACACTGGGAAGAGGCTAAGAAAAATGCTGGGGTACACAGTAGAAAAACCCTGTATTGTTTTGAAGAAATACCAGCAGAAATAAAGATATTAAGATGAGTCAGTGAACTCCACAGGTTTCTCACAGAATTCTGGGCTTCAGTGAACAGGGGGGTGAGAATGTATTGCTGCGAACTAGGAAATGGTAGGAAGTGTTAGCGGGATAGTGTCCTGCAGTTATGTGCAAAAAGAATCAATGGGAGACACCAGTGGGAACAAAAAAATCTCTCCCCAAAACGTTCCTGTATTAGTCTCTAGAACAATGGTTCTCAACCTGTGGGTTACGACCCCTTTGGAGTCCAAATGACTTTTTCAGAGGTCACATATCATATATCCTCAATATCAAATATATACTTTACAATTCATAACAGTGGCAAAATTACAGTTATGAATTAGCAATGAATGAATTTTGTAGTTGGGGGTCACCACAATGAGGAACTGTATTAAAGGATCTCTGCATTAGGAAGGTTGAGAACCACTGTCCTAGAACCTTGTGTGATATAAAGTGCCTACAGTCCAGAAGGAAATATTGGGAGGGATCAGCCTGATCACATAAGTCCTTGAAAATGAAAGAAGCCACAACATAGAGCTGAGACAGACTGACAAGAGAACCGAAATGAGGACTTGAAAGTGGAAGAAGAGAATTTGTTACAGCAGTGATGGAGAACTAATACAGGGGATTAAGAGCAGCATCATTTGTCGATATAGATTATAGGGCAGGGAGTAAGGACCAGCTACCTGTCTGATGGTCCTCTCACCCATTACTGATTCTTTGGACTAAAAACAATTATTGAGCAATGCCAATAACATTCAAATTCCTAATATTGCTTGGTCATATGCAACGAACTTTTGCTTTATATAATTTCATTTCCATGAATATACAGATGATTATCCCTATACTTTATCTAATTCTTATGAAACCTTATGAGAGCAACATCTGTTTTACTTAATTTTAGGAAGCCACAGCATAGAGGCAGCAGACTTTTTCTCCTCTGAAGTTGC